TTGCATTCAAACTCCTAATGAAAGAAAGGACTTTACTAAAAAACTGCCTACTTTGATTTGGCTTTTACTGTCGTAGGAAGGATTCACAATCGTTACCACGGTTAGCACGAACGTCCCACCGCATAGTGTGGCCTGGTTTGACTGAAGCCAGCTGCCAATACAAGAGCTCTATTACAGAGGCAATGCCCTCGTAGGGTTGGATGGCATGTCGGCGTGTATTTGTAACATCTCAGCACCAGAACCAAAACTATGGCGTGCTGGCGTTGATCGAACTTAAGGCCATGTTGCGGAGCTATCCTGTTAAGCGTACTGACGGCTGTACATGAGAGACATTTTCTAATTGCAGAAGTAAGGCTGTCTTGAGTAGACGTGAGGGGTGAATTGTATTGTACGCCTTTATTTATAGTTTACGCAGTCGTTATGAACTCCCCAATGCCTGCCTTACTACGTTCCCACCGGGAGAAAGAGTGAATGTTAGCTTCTGTCATTGGCGCGTTAAATACCGGGAGGAGAACGAAATATATTCGCTAGAGTTGACGTTATAGTGTCTCTTGATTAACGGATATAAGAATTTTTGGTTAAGCGCTTTAGGTTGGCTCGAGCTTGCAGGTCACGTGCGGAGCTGCGTCGAAAATTGTTATAGATGACCTGTACGGCTCTTTTTTAGACGTTTTCTAGCTTCAGAATATTGCCTTTTGTGTAGGGGTCCCATACAACAGCAGCATGGTCTAAAACAAGTAGGACAATGGAATGGTATGCTAACTTTCTTACAACAGGGGTAGCCAAAGTTAACATTCTCATTAAAAAGAACAATTTTCTATAAGCATGAGCTGTTACCTAATGAATATGTTTGATCTACCTTTGGCCATTTGATATCCATGGCCCAAGACATTTGTATTCGGACGCTTCAGACAAACTTGCACTGTTGATGTTGTATGTAAAAATAAAGGATCTTTCCTTTTTAGTTACCCTTGGATGCGTGCTTTCAGAGAAAGCCACGGTGCTTGAAACTGAGTAGTGTGTTACAGGCGAGGGATTGCCCTCGCTAAATATTATGCTTGCGCAAATGATTGCTTTGATTACGATACATGATGTATAATAGGATGTTTTGGTATTGCTAAACCTCTTGAACTTGAGCCTAAACCAATCTGGACCATCGTTCCACTATCTTCTGCTATTATTGCGATCAAGTTAGATTAACGAATTTGAACAAAAATTACATCTTTTCACTTTTTACTTTCCATAAGAGCCAAATAGAGAAACCGAAACTTGGTTGTCACAGAAGGGTGAAGCCATTTGTGATTCTAACCTGAACTCGAAATTGCAGTTTCGAATAAAACAAAAAAAAAATTCGGCAGATCCCACGTACCTAGGAATCGACGTTATGCGTAGCCTGTGGAAGAAAGATGACCATGTTGCAATTTTTTATTGAGCTGCACTTCATGAAATAACGCTAAATTTATGCACAAATGTTGCATGCACAGACATATGTGTCAGAGTTGCAGATGTTTATACACCCAGTTGTTTGCACTGTCTCTACGATTCCAACTGGAACAGGCGTATTAGGAACACCAGAAGCTGATATGAAGCGCTGATGCTCGAGAATATGCTGGTGAAATCTTACCCTCCCAAGCTCATTGTGGTTGAGCCAAGTTAAATGGTTGACCACAAGAGCAGCTGAACGTAAGTGACTAGACAGATAGAGAGATATATAGATAGATAAAAACCCACAAAGTCGCCGAAGTGCTCTAAGAAACGCTTCGCATTTAAAAGACGAAATTACGCGTCTGTATGCCAATCATTCCGAGTCAGATTCATCAATCTAACGCACGCTTAAACAGTCAAGCCAAAAATATTGAATATGACATATGACCTCACCTGATCTGTAGTTGTTTTACTATTGTTTTTATGTTCGAAAATAGGTTTTCTAGCATAAATGTGTGGACTACACACTATTTCACTCTTTTACATTTTTTATCTGCGAGGCTGGAGCATCACTCCGAAGCTTAGAACCAATAAAACAATGTTGTAACTAAGTCGGGTCAGTTTGGTTTCCTATTCTGTTACTAATAGCAGACCAATGTTGTTCGTTTGCGTTATTACAGTTCACACTATTTATGCTTGAATAAATGGGGCATGACTAGACATTACGTTTTTGCGCGAACAGTGAAGACGATGATCACCTAATTCAAACCGTGGAGTACACCAGAGCAGCTGAATGCGCGACACTTTCTCTTGGTGCACGTATACGTTGCAGAAAATTAAGGCATTTGTGTTAAATCAATGGGGTTAGTTAAAAATGAAGTAGAAATCACTTGGTGACACGCTAGTGTAATGAAGTAGTTAGCCTGATAACCAGTGTATAGGAAGATAGTGTAAAAAGGAGAAGACGACAGTAGCATTTTTTAAGAATATTGCACTCGCAAAGCCTCACAATCAAAACGCAATACGAATGATTATGACAGCTTCGCAACAGTGGTGCTAAACACATGAATGAAGAGCGCCATTAAGATGGCTGTCTTGTTTCTGTTTAATGTTTTTCATTCGAAATTGTTTTTTCCCTCTGTGGTTGTATGGCTTTGATAGGAGCACGAAATGGTGTGTGAGTTGGTAACTAAGCTTACCGATGGTGCACGAAAACGCAACATACCCTTTTTTGATATGTGTTTCAGTCTATTTCGTTCTTTCTTTCTCGAGCATTTTCGATTTATTTTTCGGTTTTTGCTTACCTACTTCTTTTGTAGCATTTCTCACTAATTATTTTTGCTCCTTTTCTCGCGTTTCTCAGCTCTTTTTTTCTTTATTGTCAATATTTTTATTTATTTTGTGTTGTTTTTCTTTCTTTATGCTATTTTTACCTTTCTTCAAAGCACTTTTTTACTGCTTTCTCCTTTTCTTTGTTTTTTCTTTGTTTTTCTTGCTTTTTGCCTGCTCTCTCACACTATGCGTGTATTTTCTGTATCTTTGTATTTTCGCTCTATTTTTTATATAACTCTAGCTTTTTCTTCTCAACACTTCTGTTTCTTGCTATTATCATACAACTATTTTTTTAGCTATCTCCTTTTCACGTGTTTATTGTCGTCTGACACTTACACCGGCTGTACGTGGTAGTGAGGCTTCTCAGCACATGAGCCGTATGCCGACCTGAGGCATTTCGCATGATAGTGTTCATTTTACAGACAGCTTAAACATGTCACTGCAAAAGGAAAGAAGAGTGCGCATGCCGGTTCATGAAAATCACCAACTCGCGCTCTTAGGAAGGAAACCATGCGGAAAGTATTGAAAGTTCACCTTATAGCCGGTCAGTATAGTCTTCAATACGTATGTGCGGCGTCCAGAAGTATACAACAAGAAGTTAGCAACAACCTAATAAGTTGCACTGTTAAAAACTAGAAGGCGACTGCGCAGGGATCGCTGTCACGCGTGATTCGTCAATTTAGAAGCAGTGCGATTTCATGATTCATGTGGTTACAGTCAGGAAATGACGCCTTTGAAAAAAATGCCTGCTGTGGTGATGACCAGTATGACCAGTATAGACACCGAGCATCGCGTCTTCGAAGCGACTTGACTCCTCCGCAGTCACACCCATGCCTAGACAAGCGAAGTACGATAAAAACGGGAATGCCGTTTTTTTCGGTTTTTTTCGGTGCAGTTTGAAAAATTGGCCCAAACTTTTGTGGGGTGGAACGTACAGAAATAAAGCTTAGGCAACATCCAGCGTTGACATTGAAACCGAAACTCAGTGACATAATACCAAAATACCGAACAACGGCTGACCACTCGCTATCGAGATCACATAAAGCTTCAGTGGCAGCTTTGCCTGTGTCTATAGCGTAGCTTTGTTGTTCGAAAGCGGTTATGTTCGGGGCGGTTTCTGTTGTTTTGCACCCGTTATTATTCAGTTTTCACTTTTCCTCGTACACTTATGTGACCTGTGACAGAAGTCCGCTTCTAAAGCCGTATGCAACGAGACGTTTCAATGGTTGGGCCTATTTACGACGTGTGGATCCACTTCCATGCCGGAAAGGCTATTGGCGGGAAACGGGTACTCGCTGTCTGTGAGCCCTGCAATAGCAGCTACGCTTTCTTTAATACGACATCTTAGCATAATAAAAAAGCTACAGATAAAGTCAGCGATGCTTATTCTGAATAAGAGCTTGAACTTCATATCTATACCATCTTGATCAATGTTTTCATATTCGAAGCCACGACAAAATAGCCAATTTTGGGTTCTCTTTTGTAACTGCCGTAACAATTTTAGGAAGCCGCAACTTTTCACAGACAGCTGAATGAGTTCGTGCTGATGCTTGTGGCGTGCCTTCGATATGTTGAGTGCCAGTTTTGTTTATTGAAAGAAAAAAAAAACATTTTGTTTCTGTTAGTTACATAAGGCAAGTTATTAATTTTCACACTTAGCAATAATCTATTGCCATATGCTTAAAAAGTAGTTCTTTTCTATATTTTTTCAATATTTCCTAAAAATTGTGAATGAACAAGTTTTTTATCGGTTGCTGAAAATTTCCGAAAGCTTTGCATCTTTACCAGCGCCGTCAAGCAGCACCGTCGCCATGGCGTCAAGCACTGACACGCATCCTCGCGCTTTATCGCCTTTCGTCATCTAGGTCCTTCTCTGCGCCTCAGCGTCTGTCGTTTACTATATAGGGTTTATCGGGCCCTGCGGTTTCTGAACTTTCTTCCTTCAACTTGTATTATCGTTATCATTGGTGTAGCTGATGCTCTGTGTTAACGTTGTACCTTTTGTACCTGAGTGTTTATTGTAGATTTTCCTCTTTTTGTGTTCCGAACATCTCAAATGTCTGAACGCATGGTGTCTCTGCGTTCCTTTCCTCTTCGTATGCAAGGCACGCACAAAAAGTTAGATGAATAGTCCATATTGGTTTTACAGTGATGAAACGTGATGACGACATGATATGACACGCAGACAAGCCCAAAGCCTAAAGTCATTTGTTCATAAAAGGTGTAAAAATAGCACTACAAACCGCAAAAAGGATATGTGACCATAATCACAGCACAGCTTTTATCACTACGCATATAGAGCATGTCCTCTTGAAAGTAGGTGCCCATGCCTGTAAGTTAGATATTACGTGGTATGTTATCAAATACGTGTAATAAAGTACTTGTAATTCATGCAAGACACAAAACAGTATACACGTCTAATTGGGTAAATGTACAGCAATTATGGCATTATTGGAAGATACATGTTACATGACCTAATAGCCTAGTTGATAGAAACACATAAATCTTTAAATGAAACGTGTTGATTGATTTGATATGTGGGGTTTTAACGTCCCCAAACCACCATATGGTTATGAGGGACGCCGTAGTGGAGGGCTCCGAAAATTTCGACCACCTGGGGTTCTTTAACAAGCACAAAATCTGAGCACACGGGCCTACAGCATTTTCGCCTCCATCGAAAATGCAACCGCCGCAGCCTGGATTAGATCCCGCGACCTGCGAGTCAGCAGCCGAGTACCTTAGGAAATGAAACGTGTCAGGAATGCAGCAACAATTCAGATGCAGTTTTGGCATGTCATAATTTCGATCGAGTAAACAGGTCAGTGTCGTCATTGCATGCAATCAATAAATATAGCACCTAGAAGACACCCTGATCTGACAACAAAAATGACTTTTACAAATTATTTCCCAGTAGAAGATTTGCAGAAAAAGGTATAGCTCAATATGCTAAGTACCATAATGAATCTCCGCTTTTCCAGTGACTCCTGCCATCTCTTTTGAATTTTCGCGTATATGCAGAAGCAACGAAAACGCAATTTTTTTCTTTAGGAACAGAATTTCCGGTGGCATGTGCACAGCTAAGTTTGTTGGTGTATCAAGCTCATAGGTATTTTAAAATTGATGTGGTCTTTCAGCTGTGAAATTTGATGCCTAATGCAGGTGATACAAAACAGAGCATGCAAGCTTTGCTGAGATATATGTGCACAAATAAAGAGTACCCATAGTACAATTTTGTGTGAGCAGACTAATTCATCTAGATTTCATAAATGCTGTCCAATGAGCAACGATATCTTCATAGCTCTACGAGTAATTGCCGTTTTATGTCATGTAATGGCGGCTCAAACAACTGCGTTATTTCTGTATTGAGTCCACGAAAGGTGCCTGTCGGAACTGCTAACTGACACCCCCTACCCCATAAAACCAAGTGAGATATGGGCATGGCAAGATGCATATCAGAAAAAGTATGATGGATGACTTACAAGGAAAGATATGTGGTGAAAAATAGATTGATCCTCATTCTATTTAACAGCTCGTATATTAATCACACTGTTAGTAGAGATTGTTATATTCCATCACTCAGTAAGGCTATTTTTCGGTGGCTGCCTGGGGGCAGTAATTTTTGTGCCTAGGCTGTGTTAGTCAAGAAGATTGTCGTTTACTCTAAAAGATTAGGTGTACCTTTTGCCATGACGTACTATCGAAACAAATATACCTATGAGGTTCAACATTACGCTCAAAGATAATTCACTGGAAGTTTTGATAGCCTGAAATTTCGCAAATGACCAGTTACTGGTAATCGTGGCTATAGAATCTGAAACAGTAAGAAGGCCATCAAACAGGGTGACATTTGTCAGACACACCAAGATGGCTATAGCATTGTAGGTCGGGACTACAATAAGGAAGACGTTTATGGCCACAGTGGCAGAGGTTATGCTGAAAAGTTGAATCCTGCTTTCAGTGCGTTGGCCCTTACATCTCACTAGACAGTGCTTGTAAAGTGTAAGGATGCAATCATTTCTTCAAAATACTGTGGAAGTTCTGGCGTACATTTGGTGCATCATAAGACAAACATAAATACCATTATAATAGGTCAAAAAGTAAGACAAGTACGATAAGTCGACAAACATAGAGTCGACAAGTACCGCCGAGTATTGACACAGAAAGAACTAAGCCTTTTTTTCAATAGTGTCCGCCACTGCAGAATTCCGGTTTCGTGGAATCTGTGTGTTTAATATCTGATGCAATGCGGAGAAGTGTTTTTTTTTTCTAATGTAGAAACATGCCAGCGCTTCTAATCTGTAGACCGCAATTAAAACCCACACTATCTTCCTGCGTTTTGATGATGTGCCACAACTGTACTATAAATCTCGTCTCAACATATGTGTTGATTGCACTTTCAATGCGGAGGTTTTTCAATGTATGTTTGCGTATTTATTGTAGACCATACAAGTGGAGGAACCCAACACGATGTTCGACATTGAATGATTTGAAAGAAATGTTTCCCATTGAACATACCTCTAGGTGTCACGTCCATATGCTTTTTTCGAAACTTGTCAAAAGTTCCTTGGAATATTCTAGACACCCTGCAAATATAGAAATGCCTATGCATTCGTTTCTTTTTCCACAGATGCTCAGTATACTCTAAGAGGTAAAAGAGGAAAAGGGGTATGAATATTGCTCCTTTAGAGCAGCAACTAACCTCCCACACCCATCGCATCACATCAGAGGTAACTGCGGAGTTACTCCGCTCTCTCGTGGTTACTTCTCAAGGAAGCAATAGTTATTTTTCGCCAAAAAATGAAATTTTGGTTGATTAAACCAATATTTCGAAGTGCGTGCAGGCACACGGTTAGATCAGTGTACGAACATCCCGTTAAAAAAACATTTAAGGAAATTTACGGCAAACACACAGGATTCGAACTCACGATCATTCAATACATATGCATGCGCAGACACTATTACACCACGCCACGCTATGGGCCCGTTTGGAAGGAAAGAAGTTTATGCATGCAACGACGGGTCGTTTGCACACGGCGCGAACATTTCTACAGTTACTCCAAAAAGAGGGAACTTTCTTCCACAAGGAGAGAAGAGTCCCTCCTTGCTATGCCGTGTGGAAACTTTCAGAATCATATCGTATTTTGGGGGAGCAAACTGCTATAATCGGCGTAACTGCACCATTATACCAGAAACTTTTTAGAGTGTATACATTACTTATGTCCCTGGCTGTAACAAGATCGTGTGAAGATTACAGATCTCTTCTCTATTGCGTTAACGTTGTCCACTAAGCATCTTATTCTGGTGTTTGCAGAGGTAGTGTGCGTCCATATCGGCTCCTTCGTAAAGAGAAACTGCAAAAAAATAAAAAATATATATGTAAGTGCATTCACCAAGAGTTCCGCCAAGAAGTTTTGCACTGTATGGTTACCACTCATTATCACAAAGCTGTGCAATGCAAGCGTGAAATCAATCCTTGTATTAGTAAGGGTGTGAAGTAATGTGAATGAATATATTGGTAGTAAATTTAGATTGAACAGAAGCAAACAAGTTTCAGTGGCCTATAGTTGTTCTCTTTTTGTGAGAGTAAAAAAATAACCCCAGTTATGATCTTACTAACAGTCGCGTTTTAGATGAGTATCATTCTCCCCGCTTTAACTGGATTTCTATCTGTGTCAGCGCTTAAAGCCTGTTCGTGTGTCCATCAGTGTGTTTTGCTGCTACAGAATCTACGGCTACTAAGAACTACCACTTGCACTGCAATTTTTACTTATCGCAATATTGCAATTGTCACCAGGCTTCATGTAATTTGCACATTTTCTTTCAGGCAATCTCCCACAAGTTTACAGTTTCAGTAATGAAAAATATCACAATGCCATAACCTGAAGCATCATACATCCTGAATATTTCATACTACTTCAGCAACGTAGCTCATTCTGTTATTCTTGATGTATACTATGTTACAGCTGTACAAGGTATTTTTTACTGGATTCCTGCGGTATAGTCTACCTGTTATATCTAACACGTGCAAAATGAACCTGCGCACAATCCAAAATATTCAAGCCCAAGCGCTTAGAATATGCCTTGGTTGACCCCGCTGCGCATTGACAGCTGAAACAATTGCCATTGCACAGGACTACTCGATCATGACGCACATCACCATTAAAACGATGCGTACGTACCTCAGGCATGCTAGGAATCCTTCCCACCACTTGGCAACCCTCGCTACTGAGAGGCCCCGCACGAAATTTACTGCAATTGTCTGTGCTCATCGTGTGTCTTTTACGTCAGGTTTTACGCCTGCTGAGCAGCTGGTGTATCCTCCGTGGTGCCTGACACTTCCACAAGTACGTGTTTCAATTCCAGGAATACAGAAAAAATCAAATTTGCCTTCATCAGCCCTAAAACAATTCAGCTTGAGCCATCTGCACGAAATGTACAACAACCACGTGCACATATACACCGATGGTTCAACCACAGCGTCTGGTTCTGCTGGTGCGGTGGTCATTCCAGCTAGAGAAATCACTCTGCGAATCAAACTGTCACATGTCACTACGTCCACAGCGGCAGAACTTGCGGCTTCGCGTTGCGCCCTAGAGTACATCAAATCCCAAAGACCGAGTAAATGGGCTGTGTTTTCCGACTCAAACAGCCCTACAGAGCATGCAGTCAGTCCTTCGACGAGGTTGCCATGAACAATTAACTTACGAGGTTGTCAAGCTTGTTAACCACGTCACAGAAACAGGCCACGAGGTCAAGTTTCAGTGGCTTTCTGGCCATTGGGGGATCAGTGGCAATGATTCCGCAGACAACGCGGCTCGCACATCGCACCAAGAAGAACACACCCTTCCGTTTCCTTTGTCAAGGACTGACGCTGCAAAGCAACTTCGTCACCTGGCACGTAGTCTGAGTCTCCAGGAGTGGAACACCCCAAGCATAAGACATACGAGACTATACCAAATAAACCCTCGACTGGAACTTCGACCTCCATCCGGACTTCGTCGACGTGAAGCTTCACTTCTTTGTCGCCTTTGGTTGGGGGTTGCCTTCACAAAAGCATATAGAACCCTCATCGGATTGACCGACAATGCAGAATGCGACGTCTGCTGCACCAAAGAAGACATCGACTATCTGATATCAATGCCATTGCCCTCGATTTGCCTCTGAAAGACAGAAGCTTTCGGACACAGTTGGAGGATCAGCCACTCTCTGTGCAGATGCTACTGGAACACCATCATCGCCTTTCGTCGGCTAAAAAAAGCAGTCAAAGCTGTCTTGCGCTTTTTGAGGAATACAGGCCTATGTGACCACCTTTAACTTTTGTGTAGGGCCACCGCTGCATACGCGCCAGCAGATTGACTGACAATCCGCCTTTTTTTTCTTTCTCTCTCTCTTTCTCTTCTCTTTCCTCTCTCTCTCTCTCACATTTATGCCCCCTTCCTATTTCCCCAGCGTAGGGTAGCAAACCGGGCCTGTGCCTGGTTAACCTCCCTGCCTTCCCTCTTGTTGTTTATCGCCCCCTCCCTATACGCAAAAATTATCGAGCAATCTGAACACTGATTCGGGTTTTCGTATACTATCTTAGGTAATAAAAGTTGAAGATTTTGTTTTTCTTTGATAATAATGAGCGGAAAATGTGAACGCCACTGAGTTTTCACGCAACCTTTTGTTGCAGCTTCATGCAAGCTTTTGTTGCTTGAAGCTGATATAGCTGAGGAAAGCATGTCAACTTGAGAAGGGGGTTGGAGGGGGCTTCGCAGATGAAGAATGGAACTCGACGAATTAAATCATGTTAATTTTGAACACGCTTGCCGCAAACTTTTAACGAAAAGTAGCGAATAAGCCAAAGTCCCATTTTGTTCAAAACTATTATTTAGACCTTCAAATAAGAAGTGAAGCCGTGCCGAGGGCTGCAAAATACTGCTCAGCAGCCAGCCTGTGGCCCGCGGCCCATTGTTTGCTCACCGCTGATGTAACCCTAGACATGAAAAGTGCTCATTCAACATTTATCTTGAAATATTTTAGCAGGTTGCTCTGCGAACTCCTTATGCTCGCGCCTTGTCCGAAGGCCGCCGCCGTGTACACCAGTGTTGCTAGTGTACACTTCTCCGGTTGCGGCTGAAGGTCAACGCTTTGTTTGCCGCTTCGATGACTCCAACGGTGCTCACTATGCAACGTAAGTTTTCGATGGCCTGCATGCTCAGCTCCTCGCTACTATACGTCGAATTTGTTCTCGTCGCTTCGTGGGCCCAGCAGCCCGTGACAAGTTCCTTATGATAAGTTACGGACGGGTATCAATATCCTTCTAAGCCCCCTCATCCACCTGCTCTCAACCCCGTTTAAGAATGTCTGATAGCTCCACGTCTGTCATTTCTGAGCGTTGGGCATTTGACTCGTGGCGACGTCTAGTATGGCATAAAGGGGGAAGCGCTAACGCACCGATCGGCGTGACTAACACTACGCAGGGCTGGCCACGAAACATGTCCAACAGCTCTGCCTTCGACGTACATATCATGCGTTCAAGAAGAAGTCTTTCTAATGAAACGGTTTTGCCATGAATCGCCCCGTGTACCTTCTTATATTCGGCAAAAAAGAAATGTTTAATGAAAGGCAACTGAGATATCAATGAGGCATAAATGCCCCTCCCGATTCTTCAATGTCTGCCATGAGCCTCGGCAGGAACGCATACAGTGCCGGTACCAGGTCCGCATCATTTCTGAAAACTTCCCATTAATTTTTTTCACTGCTTTCCATAATTCGTTGGATGATGCACTGTCGAGGGTCATTAAAAAAACTCGACTTTAGGATTACTCAAATGTTTTCAATTATGTTCATAACTGCTCCCTGAGGTGGCCAGGACAGCTTCATAACACCAAGTTCTACATGTTCTTTTTCACAGCGTGCCACGTATGCACTGGCGATAGGTCGTGTTGTATAAAAAATGCATCTATTCTTGAAGGGCCTGTCCGAGAGGCTGAACTAATTATGGAAAATTCGACGCCAGCTGCAGTATTCCTATAGCACTTAAAATTAATTTTTATAACTTTTTATACTGAATTGTTCTTGCACATCAACTTTGAGCAATTTTGTTTTACTGTAATCACAGAAAACATCAAGAGAACATGAATCGGTAGATTACAGTTTAAGTTGTGCGCATTGTTTTGTTCACACTGCTTTTGTTTTCCTTTTTTTATCGGAGGAGATTAACACAGTCATTGTGGGGGCATGCGCACTCTTCTAAAAAAACTGCCTGCAGACGGCGCTTGCACTAGCACTGCTTCGTGCGCCTGCGCGTGCTGTTGCCGGTCTCGCAGATTATCGCTGTGGTAAGGCGCTGATGCTGCGTGTGGTCGTTGCTCACGTGGATATCATAAAAATGCTGGAGCCTGTCCATGCCCTAAGAGAGTTGACAAAAGGCTCTAGAAAAGCCAATCTTTCAGGTTTAGTTGAGACTGTGTTGTGCTTTCGGTGATAGCCTGATGTTTCTTCTATTACTGCATTGCTGTGATGCAATCCTACTCTTCCACGTCTTGAAACTGAGTGATGAAAGCCTGTTTGCTGCTCTATGCAACATGAAACTTTCTGAGCCCTAAAAATGCTTATAGTAGGTCGTTGGCATCGGGTACGTTTTCATACCGTACGTCCAACAATTTAGGATCCCTGAAACAAAGCTGTCTTGTTCTAAATTGCATTACTGGTCCACCACTTCTCACCTATATGAGGTCTACCTTTGATTGCTGTATCTGTAACTGCCGGTAACTGTGGCTACAAATAAACTAAGAACTGGCCATGAGAACGCGATCACCAGCTTCGATTCTGCGCTTGGTAAATACTCCTTCGGTGACCTGAACAAATAAGTGGTGAAATGAGCCGTCGCTTCATTCCATCTCATGATGAAAACAAAGAATTGAGTACACTCTGTGCTGATTTGCAAGATTAGCTGTTTAACTAAGCCTACTTACTTTAACACTTTGGGAATTTAATAATGGTTTTTGTAATAAGCGTTATATTGTCTGAATACAATGTTTGCGAATGAAACCATGTGAGAACCGCGGGCGTTAACGGTAGAAGTGAAGATGAGTGATACCGGTTGTCTTCTCTAACGCGAAAGGCCCACAGGTGCTCCCGGAGGGTGGGTTGCATGGTTCCTGAATTAATTATGTACTGTGATTTGACAGTCATGACCACGCGCTGACTATTGTGAGGGGAATTAGACGCCTGACACAATCGTAACTGCTATGATTGAGCCACTCAGTTTGCAATAAGCAGCACATACAGGTCAGAAGCGATAGAGAGTACACATGACGTTCCACTCATAGCAGCTGTAGCAGTTTCATTGTTGAGCCTCATTGAGTTAAGCTAAGCCTTATGCTAAAAACGTGAGATGCAAGATTTTTTTTTGAGTAACAGTTCAGTTTGTTGCAATTGCATTGAAATCTTGGCACTTCCCACACAGCTGCGCCTTTCTCCGGTACTTCCAACCAGACTTCAAAGCACTGATATGCTCAAGCCCTGTCACTGCGACCTACAATTAGAATATCGTGGTGAATAGAAACGTGGTGCTACAAAGTGGTATTGCTCGCCCCGTAGCGACGGATATCTTGCGATACTAGTGATACGACACACTTTCATTCTTTAACTCGCATAGAAACGTGATATGTCTTAATGTTTAGTTAGGAAGCAATTCTAGAGCTAATATCGTTGAGCAAATAAATTACAAGTATGGAACTAATGCATCAAAGAAAAGTAGTTATAGATAGTCAAAAAGTGCGTTAGAAGTAGAAATAAAATGACACGTCTCTCATAATCATATGGTAGTTTTGGGACGTTAAACCCCACAAATCAATCAATCAAGGTGCAATGAAATATCTAGAAGTTCACGGTAACAAACCTACCTCTCTTATGCTGTGTGACCGTTTTAAACATGACCAACAAGCGCCATTCAACACACTCAAACCACTTGCGTAGAGAATCAATTTAAACACCAGTGTTCGCGCCATCTTGTTTAAAGTCGTGTAGCTCACTAGAGGATTTTGCACGCGGAACTGAAGCGAGTGCATCCATAAAATATTATTTTAGGAACAATGAGCTCGAACGTTGGTGATGTTTGTCACAGGTGCTGCGAGAATGTATTTTTTTTACCAGTTTTCAAAGCATTGTCCCTTTTACAGTGAAGTGCTGCGATGATATGTACCTAACAAACAATCTACGGAAGCTGCCCCATTCTTACTGAAGTTGAGTAAAACGTATTGATCCTAAGTGAGATGGCGAAACTGCCCCGTGCTATTGACGGCCAATACAAGCGCTGTCAAAAAAAAAAACGTCGTACGTGAAATTTCGCCTCGAAACGGTTGATATAGCTTGCGTACTACGGCTTGCTGTTTTATAAGTACTGAGGAAAAAGCAGCAAATACATGAAGAAGGCTCGGGTCCGTCCAGACGCGTTGCCCGTCTAGCGCTGCGACTGATTCTCCTTCCCTTCGCCTCGCTCTCTCTTCATGCGCATTCTAACGGTCACCATGGTGTTCTGCAATTTACCTTTTATTTATTAGTCCTTTTGAATTTTCCACGCATGTGTCCACTTGCATCTTCGTTGCCTTCTATGTTGCGTCACGAAACGCTCTTCAGAAACCACACTTGTTATCAGAAACATATATACATACATCAGTAATTCGTGGAGTCTATAGCTCAAACTCGAACGTTGCGGTGAGAGCAGAAGACGTAGAAAAGTCCCCCACAAGAGATAAGCGCACGAGCATAGGAGACGTTGCCCTGACTCAAAATACATGTGGGAGGCGCACATTCCTGCTCCAGCAAATACTCAACAGATATGAAATTGGAGACCTAAGCAAATGGCACTGACATCCCTTTTGTGCACCCATCTTAGTAAGATATCATGCCTTCGTGTATGTAATACACTATGACACTTCTTTTACCTTTTTTCCGGCTCAGGAAAAGTTTCACGAGACTTAGTGTGAGTGAGTCCTTAGCCCAAAAGATGTTCTTCATTGAGTCTGAGCGTGCTCTAAAACATTCGTCGACCGATGCTTGTAGGTGCGTTTTTTTAGTAAGTAATCTTTTCTAGAAAACTATTCCCAGCTTAAACTGTCAGCCACTCCAACCTGAGCTTCAAAATCTGCATAAATTAAAGAACAAAACAACCAAAAACAATGACGTCTAAAACGGGCTTCATTGTGATCGCAAGCCCACCCCTCTGTCTCGGTGCCGCATATATTTCCTTGTTTATGATATGCATGCTTATTGTATATCCAGAGAAAAGACATCATTTATAGTTGTCTTCAGGAGTGTTGACGAGAAAGTAAAAAAGCAACATGCTAAATATAATTTGCAACAAAATGGTCGTAAACGATTGCGCTTCATTGTGGTAAGAAGTTGGGTTACAATAAGAACATGTTGGGCGATTCATTCAATATATGGCCTCTTGTGTTTTGTGTCAAGAAGAAAAAAAAATACTATAGAGAATTGAGGACAGGTGATTTCGCCATATTTTTTATTTGTGTACAATGACAGACGTTTGAGGAGAACGAGACGTTCGGATCGGCGAAGAAATTATTAATCATAGAATTACGCTGGAGCTAAACGTTGGCCAGCTGGGGTTGTGTTTTAAGGCCGAAATATGTCCTCATCATCCCCGTATTTCTGTACACTTTACGCCATCTTACCTAATAAAACTATGAAGTATTGAAAAGGAAGCTTGCACTCGTCTCCCTCTGCAAAACTGTGCAAAAACGCAGTGATCAACACTGATTTGTTTAAAGTACACTGCATTAACAGAACAGCGTTAAATAACCTTTGTGCCAGGAGTTGGTGTCATTCCTACTTTTGATTTAGGTTAATTTGGAGTTTTTTTTGCATGAGCTAAAAGCTCCTATGTAATGAAAGGATCGCATTCAGGATTAGGGTAGGTAAATAGAAATCACGCAGTGGGCATCACAGTCGGGTATTCTACCCCAGAGCAACGTCTGCGCTTGTAACGTTTTCGCTAAAGTACCACAGAATACTCAATGATTGAAAATACAGATGCCCTGATGGTAGAAATAACTCTTTAGTAGCATTAATATTGTTACGTGATTTCGTCTGACTGAAAGAGGGCATAGTGGGGCATACCCAAGTAGGTGCCTCAGACTGAGAGTAAAGAAGTGGACGTTGTCAGTGAGCTGCGTTGTGGCTGCGGACCGACAACTGTTATTTTCCACGTAACATTTTGGTGGAAGTGCTGGGTACTCTTCTGACAACGGAGCTACGCAGTGGACGCCTCCTTAAGTCTGCTACCATGGCTCCGGGTGAGGATACGGCTTCGCCGCCTACCTCAGCAACGACAGCAACCCGGTACGTCGCCCTAACGCAACCCCGTGATCCCGGTACCTTTACTGAAGAGGACAACGTGAATGTGGACAAGTGGCTTAGCATGTACGAGCGCATCAGCAAGCAATATGGCTGGGACCCAACCGTTATGCTTGCGAATGTCATTTTCTATCTTGACAAGACCCCTCGCACCTGGTTTGAGACCCACGAGCACGAAATCACAAGCTGGGAAATGTTTAAACAACAGCTCCGCGACCTTTTTGGCAACCCGTTTGGTCAACAACTTGATGCCCGAAAGCAATTGGCTGTCCGTACACAGACGTCCACTGAGCCCTACTTGACTTATATTCAAGACGTCTTAGCGTTGTGTCAAAGGGCCGATCCCAACATGACTGAGGCCGACAAGATTTCGCACGTGTTAAAAGGAATCGCCGACGATGCGTTCAGTCTGCTTGTATTCACCAACGTAACGACCATGGACGCCGTGATCAAAGAGTGCCGCCGTCTCGAGCAGGCGAAGAGTCGACGCATTTTGCAGCAGTTTCAGCGCCTACCCAACACCGCGGCAACGTCGTCTTGCGAAGCCACTCCTTGTCATCCGTCTACAACCGAAGACGTGACGCGCATCGTCCGACGTGAACTCGAGGCCGCTTACCCGGCTGCCAACAAACTACCGACGTTGCCCGACGCCTCAACGCCAGCTGTCGCCTTGATCCAGGCTGTTGTCCGCCAGGAATTCGCAAACCTTGGTATCCTGTCCACTGCATCCACACTGGATAATACTGGTCCCTCGATAGCTTCTGTGGACATGAGACGTCGCCGTCCGTACTCTATTCAAACCAGGAACCCGTCTGAATGGCGAACAGCTGATGATAAGCCAATCTGCATCCGCTGTGGTCGCGCAGGACACATCGCTCGTTACTGCCGCAGTCAATGGCCATCTATGTCTTCTGGCTCGTACCCCGCTTACAGTAACTCATTCCGTCCACCAAACCACCGTTATCCGACCCGCACTCAGTCTACAGCATTTACCTGCCCCTGAGGACTACGGCCACCCTGCCCGTCGTCGCCACCGCCTCAAAGCCGCCCTTCTCGTTCAAACACGCGTCGCCGCTCTCCCTCGCCATCGTTCAACCGCCGCGCGTCCCCGGAAAACTAGGCTGCGCAGCTTCTGGAGGTGAAGCTGCCCTGTCGACCTTACCCAAAAATCCTCTGTTGCCCTTACGTTTGAACCGGAACACCCTAGAAGTATATGTTGATGGTACACCTGTTGAAGCTTTGATAGATACGGGCGCTCACGTCTGTATTATGAGTTCGCGTTTTCGTCGTCGCATGAAGAAGGTCCTCACGCCCCCCTTGACCAGTGTCGTCCAAGTTGCAGATGGTGCAAAAGTCCCTGTCGTCGGTATGTGCACAGCTCAACTTACCGTAGCCGGTCATCAAGTGGTCGTCCTTTTTACCGTGCTTGAAACATGTCCCCACGACCTCATACTAGGCCTCGATTTTCTTGCCGCCAATTCTGCTCTGATTGATTGCTCCGCTGGTGTGCTCCGCCTTGAACTGCCACAAATCAGTGCCGCCCCGTACCAACCTACATGCCGATTACAATGCAGCGATTTTGTTCGCCTGCCCTCGAAAACTGTGACGTACGTCGATTTTCTGTGCTCACCAGCTGTGCCCGACGGTGACTATTACGCTACGCCTCTCACCGACGTACTCCTTGCGCACAATGTTGCAGTGCCCTATACGGTGCTCAGCATCACAGATAACAAAACTTGTCTACCTCTTGTCAATTTCGGCTACATGAATCATGTGCTTCCACAAGGCATTTCTGTGGCCCACCTGTGTCCGTTGCTCGATTCACAAATTGAAGTGCTTGCCTTAGACACACTTGCTTCACCGCAGCGCACATCACTCGCAACACATTCGGGCAGCCGTCAAATTGTAGACATGATCGCCACTGATCTTCCGCCTCTGCAAGTTGAAGCCCTACAACATCTTCTCGAGGCCTACCAGTATATTTTCGATTTTGCTGACCGACCTCTTGGGCAGACGTCCTTTGTCCAGCATCGCATACACACAGGTGATGCCAACCCTGTTCACCGCCGTCCCTACAGAGTGTCTGCTTTTGAGCGGAGCATAATTCAGAAGGAGGCGAACAAGATGCTAGCGAAGGACATTATTGAACCATCCTTCAGTCCCTGGGCATCCCCGGTGGTATTAGTTAAAAAGGACGGATCGTGGCCATTTTGTGTGGATTATCGCCACCTTAACAACATCACCAAGAAAGACGCATACCCTCTGCCCCGCATTGATGACGCCCTTGATTGCCTCCATGGTGCCGCCTACTTTTCTTCCATAGATCTTCGTTCTGGTTATTGGCAGATTGCCGTGGACCCCATGGACCGAGAGAAGACGGCTTTTGTAACACCCGATGGCCTCTACCAATTCAAAGTCATGCCTTTCGGCTTATGTAATGCCCCCGCCACCTTTGAACGAATGATGGACTCCCTGCTCCATAGATTCAAGTGGTCTACGTGTCTTTGTTATCTGGATGACGTGATTGTGTTTGCTCCCACTTTTGAAGCGCACCTTGAGAGACTGTCAAAAATTCTTGATGTATTCCGTCTCGCCGGCCTTCAGCTGAATTCATCTAAGGGCCGGTTTGGTCGCCGTCGCATTACGATACTTGGACATATTGTTGACGCTTACGGTGTACAGCCTGACCCAGAAAAAGTTCGAGCTGTGAAGGACTTTCCTGTGCCGAAAACCGCCAAAGATGTCCGCAGCTTTGTGGGGCTCTGCTCCTATTTTCGGCGGTTCATCAAGAACTTCGCGGAAATCGCTCGGCCCCTAACAGATTTACTCAAACCGGATGAGACGTTTACCTGGGGTCCCTCGCAAGCAGCAGCATTTTCCGACCTGACCACTTGGCTCACTTCTTCTCCTGTGCTGGCTCACTTCGACCCTACGGCACCGACGGAAGTGCGCACCGATGCCAGCGGTTACGGAATAGGCGCTGTGTTGGCTCAGCGACAACGTGGGCAGCATCGCGTGATAGCTTATGCCAGCAGGCTGCTGTCCACCTCGGAGCGTAATTATTCCATCACAGAGCGCGAATGCCTAGCGCTGGTGTGGGCAGTCGCGAAATTTCGCCCTTACTTATACGGCCGACCATTTATAGTTCTCACCGACCACCACGCTCTCTGCTGACTCGCCTCCCTCAAAGATCCCACAGGTCGTCTCGCCCGCTGGGCACTCCGCCTCCAGGAGTATTGTTACACCGTAGTGTACAAATCAGGAAAACTGCACAAAGATGTGGATTGTCTGTCACGCTACCCTGTCGCCGACTGCGATCCTACGAGCACTGATTCTGTGGGCTGCGTCCTTCCATCTCCCAGCTGCTTCATCTCGGGGACGAGCAGCGTCGCGATCCGGATATCAGCCGCCTAATACAACAGCTCGAATCTTCACCGCAAGACGCTTCCGTTCGCATGTTTACCTTAAAGGACAACACCTTATATCGGCGTAATTTATCGCCCCATGGTCACGACCTACTTCTTTCTGGTCATACCAAAGCACCTGCGTTCTACAGTCCTAGGCGAGCTCCATGACGCGCCAACCGCGGGTCACCTTGGTGTCTCTCGCACATATGACCGTGTGCGCCGCCGCTTCTACTGGCCTGGCCTTTCACGTTCTGTACGTCGCTATGTCAACGCTTGTGAAATTTGCCAGCGTCGCAAAAAGCCGTCGAGACTACCTTCCGGATATCTTCAGCCCATCGACATCCCATCGGAGCCATTCTTCCGTGTTGGTTTGGACCTTCTCGGTCCCTTCCCAACATCCGCCTCCGGAAACAAGTGGGTCGCGGTGGCTACGGATTACGCGACCCGTTATGCAGTTACGCGAGCCATGCCAACAAGCTGCGCTACAGACGTCGCTGATTTTCTACTACGCGATCTCATTTTAGTGTATGGAGCCCCTCGTCAACTGCTGACAGACCGAGGCCGTACGTTCCTTTCGAAAGTGGTTGACGATATCCTGCGTTCCTGCTCTACCCAACATAAGCTCACGACATCGTACCACCCCCAGACAAATGGGCTTACAGAACGTTTAAACCGCACCTTGACAGACATGCTATCGAAATACGTCTCGGCCGACCATCGTGATTGGGACCTTGCACTACCCTACGTGACGTTCGCATACAATTCCTCCCGGCATGACACTGCCGGGTACTCGCCATTTTACCTTCTGTTTGGACGCGAACCAACATTGCCGTTAGATACCTTCCTGCCAGCCGTTGCGCAGTATACTTCTGAATATGCACGCGACGCTATTACCCGAGCTGACCATGCTCGTCAGCTTGCCCGCAGCAGGTTAATGGCGTCCCAAGACTCGCAGAAGCATCGTTACGACGAGCGGCATCGCGACAAACACTTTCCAACAGGCTCCCTCGTTCTTCTTTGGTCCCCTACGCGACATGCAGGCCTGTCAGAAAATTTTCTCTCTCGTTTCACGGGCCCATACCGCGTGCTTAGACGAGTGACCGACACTACATATGAAATTGTCCCTGATAATCCATCAACATCTTCCGCTCTGCTGTCAAGGGACATCGTCCACGTATCAAGGCTCAAGCGTTACCACACTGCTCCTGCTGTGGCCCCGTAAACTCGCCGGGTCGGCGCTTTTGCCGCCGGGGGTCGTGTTACGTGATTTCGTCTGACTGAAAGAGGGCATAGTGGGGCATACCCAAGTAGGTGCCTCAGACTGAGAGTAAAGAAGTGGACGTTGTCAGTGAGCTGCGTTGTGGCTGCGGACCGACAACTGTTATTTTCCACGTAACAATATTGCCTGTTGGAAGTGTGTAATCACGCCAGAAGTAAAACCATATCTTGCGCAAAAAAAGTGCGTTTAAGGCGAGTACTCATTACAACGTGCTAAGCCATAGTAAATCGGCGTCCTCAATACTCACAGAAATACACGGTTATCATGCTGCAAACTTGAGGAGGTGTCCATGAATACTGGCCAGACACAATGCGCCAAGTGCAATCCCATTTTAAAAATAAAACGGCTTCAGTACTCTAAAAACATTTAGTGACCTAATTTACAAAAAATAAATTACTTTTCATGACTACCATGTCCTCCAAATTCTCAATACTGAAATTTATTCTTCGACGTATCACCTCGACGGGGCACTTTGGTCAGAAATCTTATGTATCTGTTACATTTTCACTTGCAAAACTATTTCATCGGCGCAAGTGAGACAGGGTTCGCTAATTTTCTTCATTTAGGGGATAGGCATGTAAGAAAAAAACAAACCTTAAGTGAACAATTACCAGATGTTCCAGCTGTAGCTGAATACACCCAAAATAAGCCTCTATGAGCCACATATGCGCAGAAAATTCTGGCCTCAACCTTCATTGAAAGATCATTGCGCGTCAGTATTCCATAACTACCACGCATTATTTCTTGATCGCATACCAGGATTGCTGCCAGGATTAGTTATTGTACAAGGTGGTCAGCTGCACCATCTGGTATAGGAATTGAAAGAAGTATTGTCTTGAAAACAATAAAGCAAAATCTGTTACATTCGAGTATAGTAACTCCAGAAAGTAAATGATGTTAGAGTAGCTTACTCGGAGAGGATCGGGCCACCTGTGGATCCTTCGTAGACGTTTCGTACTATCATACCTTGGTATATGTACACTGCACTCGGAATGTTCATGAATTTTCATTAGCGTGCATTATATACAATTTGAATAACTTCAAATTCCCAGATCCCTATCCCCAGTGTAGGGTAGCATAGCGGTCGTTCCAGACTGGTCAACATCCCTGCCTTTCCTTTCCCTCTTGATCTTCTCTCTCTTCTCTTATGAACCTTATATTCACACAAGATATGTTACTTTGCAAAGCGTTACAAGGGCACCCCTCAAAAACTTCGGTGAATAGTTCACTTATGAAGATGATTGCAGTATGATGCATGTACTATATACATTAGATATACACAAGTGATGTTATTTTACAAAGTACACCACCCACACACCACTCCGCATATTTGGTACACATAAATGAAATGAATCCATTGGTGTGCACGTTTCCAGCGTTCCAAGGCGTCATGAATCTGAGCACGCCGGCTGTGGTCAGGACGGGATCTTGTTCGATGTCATCAACATGTGCGTTAAATATAAGCCATTCAAGTCTATTGTTGATTGCCTTAAGTTGTCCTTTTTTTCGCGGTGAGAATATTTATGAAATTCATTGAACGAGTTTCTGTGGATAAATTGAAAAAGAAAATTCCTAATTATCTTTTGTCTTGATTGGTATTAGTTCATTGTGTTTAACTTCTCAACTGATTTGTGATTTGACTGAGAAACTCAGACAGTAAAAACTAAGCCGGTGGAAAACGCCTCACAAGACAACAAATAAACAAAACTTGTGGGTGATTATTGCGTCATAATTTGTGTGTTATTACAACAAAATACGTACCCCAGCCCAGCCATTCTGCTCCTGTGTTTACCGAGCCTATATCCGACGGACGCGCGTAAAACTTGAGGGGAAAGCGCCACACTGCGCCACATGCTTTGAGAGTGTGCCGGGAGAGATAACGCCGCTGCCACCACTCACTACATGACGCGTAGGCACTGCGCTGTTATTGCCTTGTCACTGACATAAATTGGGTGCCTTTCTTCCTCTCTTCGAACCACTACCACCACTTCACGACGCATGTTGGGCAGGACGAATTGTTGCTGCTACCATCATCCGAAAGCTGGAGCCAGCCGCCACATCAGCTGTGGTCACTACTGTGGATCGGCTGTGGCAGCATCACTGTGGCTGGGAGGCGGCCGCTCACCAGCGGCGAGCTAACCGACCAGTTTTCAGACATGTGGCAATAGGAAGACGCCGCCTTAACCCACGAACTTCGAGCCGTCAGCTGAGATGCCACCATACCCATCGACGGAGGTTGGGAAGGGACAGGGGTTAAGCCCCTCTGCGCTCCGCTTTGCCCGAAGAAAACAGGTCAACTTAACAAAGGTTCATTCATTCATTCATTCATTCATTCATTCATTCATTCATTCATTCATTCATTCATTCAGTCATTCAAGGGACACAACGCGCAATGCTGCGTGATCGCCGGCAATTTTGCCGCAACTTTTTTGCTCTAGACCTCTATATGAGCCTTAGTACTTGATGTGTGCTGTGGTTTAAGAATGCCCATGCCCAAGAAAAATCGCTTGCCTTTATATTCGGCACGGAGGAGAATGTGCCGTTTAAAAGTTCTGCTGAATAACCTGTGCTGCAATGAATGACCCATGTTGAACAATAAAATTTGAGGAAAACGCCGACTCACATTTGTGGGCGTAAATAGTCTAAAGTCAAAGAATAATTATAAACACAGTTATGGTGCACTGAATAATGAAAAATATTTTGATTTATCGTATTCAAATACAATAAAGTTCATTTTCGTAAGTGAAGCTGTGTTCAAAACAAGTAGCAGAGCTTTTATACCAGCAGGTGTGGATGTTTGTGATGTTCCAAATGCATTCAACAATCAGTGTAGGCGATTTCCGCAGCGATCATTTTGTGGTTCATACAAGCCCGCCTTTTGCTGTCTCTTAAGTATATCTGTGCAGTTTTTCTCATAAACTACTGTCCCATGCTTCTCGAATTTCAGGTAGTGTTCGAGGCACTTAGGCGGAGGCTTAAGTACAATATAAGCACCCCTGATTCGCAGATCATACGTGCGATGTTTACCTGTGAAAGAAAAAAGTACAGGCTTCAGTAAACGCTCCTGTTCCCACAAATTCAAATCATCCTGCCTAAACACTTATTATAACTTTTATGGTAAATTTCTGTGAAAGTAAAAGAGGATACCAACATCAAACCATTATTACCTATCTTCAGAAATATGGCGTTGCGTAGAGATCAGGCATCTGTAATGAACAACTCGATAATAATAAATAGTGAAACTGACGTCATGGTACGTGCCTGTTCAGCTCGTGTTACCATTGTCATCATTCATTCTCTGTTAAAAACACCTGTCAGGTTAATACAAAAAGCGGGGTAGGTGGTAGATCTCGCCGATGATATGCGTGTAAAGCGAAGACATGGTTATGAACTTGTTTGCTGGATTCCGCGATGAATAGTTGTGTCGCCCGTGATCTCCTGACACCGTCTAGCTCTCGCTGACTGGTGTACCGTAATCGGGCTCCTTCGATTATGGGCTCAATCTTTCCTAGGTCTTCTCTCTTCTTTTCGTCGTTTCTGCGAGGTGAATGTTCTTTCTTCTTTATCTCTTTACTATTCTCCGTATCTCCGTTTTCCCAATTCCTGCAAATAACTGCATCACCTCTCCAGTTAAGTATACAGAATTACGTGCGCTTGTATTTTCTTCAAGAACACGCATTAAGGACAGAGTTAAAGCTTCTAACGCACCTAAGCACGTGAGTATTTTTGAAAGAGAGATCGAAAAAAAGGAAGATAAACTAAACTGATGACTTCCCTGTATAGCTGAGAATAATTTCTCAAATTGACCGAAGGGCCCTGATGCTGAATGCTACTAATATTAAGAGCGAAGCACCTTAGGTGTCGGTGTGACAGCGTGCTCCTCGTCTGCTGCTTATTGCTGCTGCTGATGATTATTTTGCTTAAACGCGCCACCTGAGCGCTCACTGCGATGAATGCGAACGAGCTCGCAAGGAACGAGAACGCGCCATCACCCTCGACATGCAAAGCCGAAGCAGGCAGCATCTGCTAGTGAGTTTGTTGTATGTAAAAAAAAAAACGGCTGATCGCATTGCACAACCGTAAACAGGCCAACCCGCATATGTATGCACTTGATCTTGACCAGCAAGGAAGTGCTGGTGGGAAATTTTTCCAGTGCGAAAATGATGAACACAGATTCGCATCTTGCACGTTAACACAAAGCAGTCCGCGGGTTTCTGCAAGGCTCCGATTCAAACCGCCAACAGAGAATGCTTCGCACCTCCTTATAGGTGGACGTAAAGTACCTTCTTACGTGTCCTTTTGCCACAAGTTTTTTGCTGGTCCATTTCCCTCTAGCCCTGCAAGAACTGCACCTAAACTATAAGGCGAGACATCACAGCTGAACGTCAACGGACGAGAGCCGTCATAATGTACAATTACCGTACATTCGCGCAGGACGTCAATAATACCCTGTCACACGGCACCTTTAATGGTATTCGCTGAGAATGACATTAGGTATTAATGCGATTTTCGTTCCTGCTACGAGAAAATAGTGAATGACATCCACGGATAATGCATTCGCTCGCTGAAAGTGTTAACGGTAACTCATGTGAGGAGATCTGTAGTCTTGTGACCCGGCGCTTGACAAGATATCAGAAAATTGACATCCTTAAGCAAGTCTAAACAATGTCGAGAGGTTCATCACAGGTTGTTAAGTTTTCGGTAACTTTTTAACGTGAAACACAATTAAGAAAGCAATTTGTGTAGCTATATTCGCTTTCTCAGGCGCCAACATGGTGCTATAGAACCTCCTGTCAGCCATCTTTACACACACTCGCTCCTGTTTTGGTGCAGCATCTCCGCGTGACTTTCTAGAGCAGAATACGCGTGCACGTATTGGACACCACTTCAGAGAGAGTGTTTTCAAACCATTTTTTTATCTCTTGAGAAGCACCAAGGTTTGCTGTTAACCACCGAAGACGTCAAAGCCTAAAGAAGAGTCAACGTAAAAGAATTGGCGTGTATACGCGCAGGTCCAAATTCTTTATCGTATGTGATGCGCTTCCATCAGTTATGATGCTTCTTCATTCGCAGCATCGGTAGAGCAATGAACGTTCGTTTGCACTAATCATAATTCATCGTGGTCACAAACTTATGAATGCTGTTGTGGTTCAAAATATTGCCTACTGCAAGTTGTGAGCGCCTTTAAAAGCTACTCTTGCTTTGGATATGTACAATTGTTTTTCTACTAATGCTCTCTTTTCACGTCGCAGTATGTTTAGAACCAGCAGGACAATGTTACATAAAGTAAATGCGTGATTTGTAACTTTTTTGGTATCATAGTAGCCTGACAATAAACATTGACATCAATTGCGAATGTCATTTCACTTAGCCAAATAGACCTAGAATGCGAGAACGCAACGGCGTTCGCTTTGAATTTCATTCACTGTGAATTACATTATACGTGCTGTGTGTCAAGGGTACAAAAGTAGCCTGATCATCTCCCCTATGCTGGAGAAGGTTGATTTGATTTGATTGATTTGTGGGGTTTAACGTCCCAAAACCACCATATGATTATGAGAGACGCCATAGTGGAGGGCTCCGGAAATTTCGACCACCTGGGGTTCTCTAACGTGCTGAGCACAGGGGTCTACAACATTTCCGCCTTCATCGGAAATGCAGCCGCCGCAGCCGGTATTTGATCCCGCGACCTGCGGGTCAGCAGCCGAGTACCTTAGCCGCTACACGAGCGCGGCGGGGCTAGCTGTAGAAGGTAAGGTGAGCGCCTTGCCGCAAAGGAATTGGATGTAAAGGCTTATAATTCGTAAGAATGATTGCAGTTCCGAATTTTTAGACTCGTCTGGTGCGTTTGTTATGGCTTTCTACCTGTTTTAAGACCCTGGATATTTGGGGCTCACTTTGTATCCCAGGACCTTCGATTCGTGTACCCTTTATTTTAGGGCCTGCTTGGTGAATATGCTGCAAAACTACTTTCTGTAAACCTAAATGATCTTCACTCGACGCTCCCGTGATAAAAATGGCGTCCAAATAGGCGTGAAACCGGACTGTTTAGCAAGCAGAGTACTCTTTAGGCATTGGAATATCCATGGTGAGGCTGAAACACAGCGTGGTATATGCTTTACTGTGTAGGAGCCTTTAATTGTATTGATAGCCATCATCTTTGACGTGGCTCTATAGACATGCAGTGGTTCATAAATCCAAGTCAAATAAATGTTTGAAAAGATCTATTATCCTCTAAGAGTTGCAAGCAACTCAGCAGTCGTTGGTAGAAGTTACGCTGTTAGCAAGATTCTCGCGTTCACTGTGTTTCTGCAGCCACCGCACAATCGGAAAGATCCATTCTTCTTTCTCGCCACAAGCACTCATGTGACCCAGTTCTATACGGAATGGACTTCGTGATGCTTTGAGCCTCGAGCTTGTTGAGTTCTCGACAAACGACATCTTGTACGGCAAATGGCACTTGCCGGCATTTCAAGAACTTCGGCGTCGCGTCTTCAGCCAGGTCGACGAGTACAGGTGTCCCTGAATGTGCGGTTTGAGCGTAATGGTTTTCTTCCCCTGAAACTGTTTAGCCCATGCAACGTAAATCTCAGTTTTCGAACCGGCTTTGTCCTAACTAGCCATCTCCTGCTCTTGCAGCGACGAGCAAAGGTAGTGGAGCTGTGTTATTTAAAAAAAAGCATTAATGAGCATGGGACCAATGATGTTTCGCCATTCTTCTGACCATGTCCGTAGAACAAGTTTTCCTTCGCTTAACACCGGGTAACATGAAAGGAGAGGCGAGCGAAAGTCGCTGCTTGTATGAAAAATACTGTTCCTGAGTCTACTTCTATTTAGACCGGCCGACCAGAAATTCGGGCTGTCATGACGAACTTAGTGTGGCTGTCGTCTGTGGTTTCGAATAAAAATGCGGTAAACAGGCAGTCACCCTGCAGTACAAGCAACTGGTCTTACTTTTGCAAACAATCGCTTCCTCGGCACATCTTGGCCTTAGCATTTTTTAGGCAGACAAGCTTTGGTGATGTGGCCCTTCTTGCGGCAGAAGTTACATGTATAATTTTTAAAGAAACATTTCTCGGCCATATGATATGCTTACCATAAGCACTGAGGCTGCTTTCTTAAACCTTACGTTATCCTCAGCTAGCAACCATTGTGGAAGACAATAATCGTGGACTCCACTACTACTCTGTCTCGAAGTATCACTCTCGAAGGACGCCTTGTACAGCTCCTTGAAGCGGCATTTTCGCAATACCGTCCTACGCCTCTACTCTCTGACGTTGTGAAGTCTACGCTGCCAAAGTTGAACTGATTATCTAAAGTTGGCAGTGCTGAGACATATTGTTAACGTATTCGTTAAAAAGTCAGTCTTGATAGCGACAACGTCCAAGTGACCCAGAAGGCGTAGGGTTGAAGTTCTCGGCTAATAGCTTAATCATTGCCACTGAATCCTCGTTCGAAGGTTTCCATAAGTGCCAACAGGGCCCTCGGTGTTTCGTCGATTTGCTCATGCAAAAGCGGGAGAAGCACTGCTCACATTTTTGAGGATTCTACGATGTCATTGCATCTGTAGTAGAAGTTCAGGTGCTATACGCCTAATGGCTAGTTAATGCCAGGGAAGAATTCTGGTGTCTTGCCTCTGTGCATCATCTTCAAAGTAAACTTGCCGCGCCTGGCCTCATTTCTCTTCACAATTACTATAAAGCCACTTTGTTGCAATTCAAGGATACTGTATTGAGGTGGCCTCATCAAGTAGTCCAAGTGCACTTTTTTCCCCTCGTCTTCATTCACTTTTTCAAACGCTCATATATAACAGGTGGGTACGGGGTGAACAGCTCGGAAACATTCGACGTGACGCAGCAAACTCCTAGCGTCGGCTTTCAACTTTATACGCGGTCGGGCCATGTCATCTGAGCAGCTTAAAACTTCGCCTTGGTGAAAGAGAGGTTACTGCGCTACGCTGCTAACCTGTAGGTCACCGGTTCTATCCAGCCCCTTGGTGTTGACGCTTCAGTGTTGTTACATAATGATGAAAGTGTCTGCTGGTTGACAAGCGTCTTTCTGTGCCGTGCGCAGAGAGGTGGTGTGATGCGCTTAAAGTGATACGGTACGTTCGTAAGTTCATGAAGCAAACCTACTGCTAAGAACTGCCCGTACGTTTAGGCTATATAAATACGCGTTAGGGTCAGAATCTGGATAGCTTTAAGCAATTTGAAGCGTATGGCTAAATAAGCAGCACTCACTGCACACCTTCAGAACTTTACATTTCAAGGGTTCGATAAATAGAACGTAGGAATCTCAGGAAGGTAGATGTGCATTATGACGGCAAAGTGTGCAAGTCCACTGTGAAATGTTTTACAGAGAAACAAAAATGCCAGGAGCAAAGTTGTTTACAGAGATAACAAAGAGAAATGCACAGAAAGAAGGTTGAGGTGTATAGACTTGTTTACTTTAGCCCCGGCAGAAGAATTATTTCTGCATCAGGTGTGTATTGAAAGCCAGTCATAAAAAAAAATAACAGCGGACACTTCACAGTGCATAAAAGTCGAGCTCGTGGCTTAGAAAGTCAGAGTAAAGTCGCAGAAAATGTCAAAGTATCAGCATATGCTAGGTTGGCAAAAAAGTGGAACTCACTCAAGACGTACACTTTCTTTTGAGCGCGCACTCTGACTCAGACCCGATAAATTTCACCCCAACCTGATTCACTAGCACTCACATTCACCACCATGTACCTCAGCTGGATTCAATCCGGCTCAGGCTCTCCGCAGGACGTGATTTAGAGCGAGCATAATTGAGCCGACTATTGAGTCCACTAGCATAAAAAAACGCCAAGCCTTCGCGGAAGGTGCAGCACTGTAACAGTGAAAGCTAGAAGAGTGGCCTTTCAGAGCAGTTTCGAAACCCTCATTAGGTAACTACTGAAGCACACTTGCTTGATACTCTCTAGGTCATTATGAGAAATTCATTTGGGTTGTAGACTGGAATTCGCTATGCTATTTTTCATCATTCTTCTGAGTAGTGTAGTATCCGCTGAACACATACAAGGAATTTTGTGCCAATTGTTCATGCAGTGGATGACTACGATGAGAAATTTTGGCGGAAGTGGGTATGCGTCGAACCTAATAGGAGAACAATGGCAAGCTTTTGTGGTGGGTTGGAGCATTGAACGTCCCACTCATTACGCTATTCGCACTGTGCGACGACTGGTTGTTCTTTCGCTGTTTTAAAACGCTTTATAAGTCGTAATAGCGCAATGGCTTTCCCGACAACAGGCCTGCCTAGGCGAGTTTGACAAAAAGTCGCAAGGACCGGTGTAGCTCAGTGGTAGTATACAAAGTTGGCACCCAGCGGACCCGGGTCCGAGCCCTACTGTGCCATGGGTGCTTGGTCAAGCTTGCGTAAAGCAAGTTTGACAAAAAGCTACAAACACCGGCGCAACTCAGTGGTAGCCAGAATACTGGGCTGGTACCCAGCGGACCCGGGTCCGAGCCCCGCTGTGTCATTGGTGCGACTTTTTTTCTAATATCGCGCTGTGTTGTTATGGACACCAGCGGCGGTAGTGGCGGCGGCAGCGGTAGCGGTGTCGCACATTACTCGAGTTGTGATCTTATAACAGCTTTCAGATCTCATAATAGCTCATATCAGAACAAATATAGTTTGTAGAGCTTCAGAATTTGATTATTAAGCGTAATGTATCTGATGTATTAAGGTATACCAAGGAGAGAATTGAACACGCTCTGAAGAACGGAGGAAGTGTCATAGCAGTGAAGAGAAAACTTGGGATAGCTAAAAACCAGATGTATGCTCTAAAGGAAAAGGAAGGCAAAGTAACTATCAATTTGGATCGGATGTTAAAATTAGCGCAGGAGTTTTACAGAGATCTCTACAGTAACCTGCAAACCCCACAACCATAATATAAGAGCTAGCAGTAACCCAGATGACACCCCACCAGTAATGACAGAAGTCAGAAAAGCCTTGGAGAGCATGCAAAGAGGCAAAGTTGGTGGTGAGGATCAGGTAACATTAGATTCGCTGAAAGATGGAGGACAGATTGTGGTAGAAAAACTAGTGACCCTGCTTATGAGGTGTGCCTTGACGGAAAGGCAAGAATCTTGGAAGAATGCTAACATTATCCTTATACACAGGAAAGAAGATAGCAAAGACTTGAAGAATTACAGGCAATCAGCTAGCTCTCGGTAGTATACAAGCTATTTACAAAGGTAACTGCTAACTGAATCAACCCAACATGAAAAACATTTCAAAAACTTGAACAAGCAGGATTTCGAAAATGCTACTTAAGAATCGACCACATTCTTACTATCAATCAGCTAATAGAGAAATGCTCAGAATCTAGCCAACCACAATACATAGCCTTTATAGATTACGAGAAGGCGTTTGATTCAGTGGAAATATCAGCAGTGATGCAGACACTGCGGAATCAGGGCGTCGACGCAGCATATATAAACACCCTGAAAGAAATCTACAGGAGATCAACTGCTACTATAGTGCTTCATAAAGAAAGTAACAGAATACCAATCACGAAGGGTGTAAAGCAGGGGGATACAATCTTCCCAATGCTATTTACCACGTACACACAGGAGGTTTTCAGAGGTCTAGAGTGGTAAAAGTTAGGCATAAGAGTTATTGGACAGCAGCTTAGGAGCCTGCGCTTCGCCGATGAAATTGCATTTCTAAATAACTCAGGAGACGAATTGCAACTCATGATTACGGAGTTAGACAAGGAGAGCAGAAAAGTAGGTCTTCAAATAATCTGCAGAAAACAAAAAGTATTGTACAACAACTTCGGAAGAGAACAGCGCTTGAGATAGGTAATAGTGCACTTGAACTTGTAAAAGACTATGTGTGCTTAGGACAGGTAACAACCGTGGAGCCGAACCACTAGACAGAAGTAACTAGAAGACAAAGGATGGGGTGGAGCACATTCGGCAAGCACTCTCAAATCATGGCAAGTAGATTGTCACTATCCTTCAAGAGGAAGGTGTATAACAGCTGTATCTTGCCGGTACTTAGCTACGTAGCAGAAACCTGAAGACCTACAAAGAGGGTTGAGCTTAAATTGAGGGCGACACAGCAAGCAATTGAAAGGAAACTGGTAAGTGTAACATTAAGAGACAAGAAGAGAGCACAGTGGATTAGGGAACAAACTGGGGTTAAGGATATCATAGTTGAAATAAAGAAGAGAAAATGGAAATAGGCCGGGCATGTAGCACGTAGACTGGATAACCTCTGGTCCTTAAGGGTAACTAACTGGATTCCTACAGAAGGCAAGTGGGTAGGAGGAGACAAAAGGTTGGGTGGGCAGATGAGATTAAGAAGTTTGCAGGTATAAATTGGCAGCAGCATTAACAAGACCGAGTTTACTGGCGGAACATGGGAGAGGCCTTTGTCCTGCAGTGGACGTAGTCAGGCTGATGCTGATGATGAACGCCTTTCGCTGTAATTAGCTTTGGTGATCGTAGTGCACGCGCCTTTAACACAGTTATATTACACATTAGGCATGATACACTTCTAGATGCACTCGGAATTTTCAGTGGTTGGCTTTCAGCACGGATGATTTCATGAAATATGCGCCTCAGACAAGATATCTCTAAGTAGAACGTTGCGTGAAAGATTGTGGTGGGAGATTTTGGAAACACCGTTACCCATGCTCAAGCCTCTCAATAATAAACAATGAGGCGGCTCATGAAAGCCATGCGTGTAGACACGTGTTAATATATTTGAGCACAAGCGTAAGCCGATATAGGGGTTGTAGTATCGCTCGTAGGACTATGCCTTGGCAATTGATGTATGGCCCAAAAACACTTTTCTGCTTATGCGTAATCATACTGAGACGTTGAGGTAACCTTTGGACATCTTAGATTTTCCATATATGAAATCTGAGACTAAACACATTGAAGACAGCCAGGCAGTGTTCGCATATTCCGTAGAAACGTGAAACTAACCGCAAACAGTTGTTTTGACCATGACAACTGCACATCTGTAGTCTTCTGTCACGTACAGCAGATCCTCTTGAAAATCCATCCCCTTGCCTGCAATCGAGAGGTTAGACATTGATTACCGAAACAATTCTCACACATTATCGCTATCCTGCGTTAAGGCTAAAACATCAAAAAATGTTATCCTTTAATGATAGCAGTAGAGGCAGTTGTGTACTGAGGCGGAAAACTCATTTCATTGAAAGTAATATCGTTTTTTTTTGTTAAATTGTTAATGGCGCAATTCGGCCCTATAGAGTTATTACAAGGAGCCATTTTGCTTTCAAGCTTGTGCGTTGGGGCATTGTGGGCAGGGGAGTAGTTGAAAAAATAGTGTATTGATGAGATCTGTCCAAGACCATAAAATGTGAACTTGTAGGCTCTTTCTGAAGTTTCTAAATTTCTATGCAGACGTCACGGTAGGCTTCCTTCACAATGTCTCATAGAGGCGGAAGTCTTTCAAGTGCAGAAGTAAAAGTCTGGGGAATGAGCTGAGGATGGTGGGGCGAGAACTTTAGAAGTTTTCAAGTTAGCCGGAAACGAGGCTATCAATAGAGCAGCGTGGGCTGGCTGGTGCCTTGTAATAAAAAAACAACCTCTGACAGTGTGAGGGTATTCGCACTGAATAATTCTATTGTGTATGAAGAACACTTACATGTGTAATATGATTCGTTGTCAACAAGCGCTCTGATTTCTACAAATACAAAAAGCATGATTTTTGACTTGCTCCTTATGGTCCTATAGGACTGATGGTAAGCTGAGTGCACCATGGGGCTCTTTTCTCTTTCCTTTCAGTTTCGTAGTGAAACACAGACTACACGTAACCAGTTGAGACGTTGTCCAAAAAGGGCATGTACTTTTCAGGCATATTAAAAAGCTGTGTTTGCACTCAACTCTGCAAGATTTTCAGTTGTCTGTTATCACTGAAGACGTGGCCTCGGTACTCATGTTTTGCATTTGAAAATATTCGAGAACCACTCGTTAGGACTACATTTACGGCCGTTTGGTATCTGTTTCATCGAAATGATACTGAAAAGAATGCGCGTTCGAAAGATCTCTAGTACTATCATCAGTAATCGCCCCCCTGCCACGCAGTCTTAATCACCGACCTCTTCACGACTTTTTATAATGACTTTGTGCCATTGATGCACTTCACCTTCTGTATATTATAACCAAAGGCTATTCATATTATAGGAGAAGCCGACGTGAGTTTTACGCAGATATGTGTTGGCAGTCCCCAGATGGTAGCAAACAAAAGTGCGAAAAACGCCAGACCTGCGCGGAACGTGCAGAACAGTCTCATGGAAAGCTAACATAGTGGTTTTTCAGAGCATTTTTAAATACTCTTAGGGGATATGCTACAAGCACACTACCTGGTACCACTACGCAATAAATAATCATAATTTTTTGTACTAGGCGAGCATTCTTTCTGCTATCCTTTCTCATTCTTAGGAAAACCATGGAATGTGTTACACAGTTGCTAGGAATTTTGTGCAAAATAATTATGCAGTGGCTGAAGTCGATGAAGAATTTTGCTTGAAGTGGGTACGCGCCCCTGGTAAGATGCGATCAAGAACAAGTTTTCTAATGGGTCGGAGCATTTGACGACCCACTATTTAAGCAATTATCATCATGTGACGCCTGGTTGTTCCTTTGATTCTCTAAAACGCTTTACTATACTCATAATAACGCAATACTTTTCGCGACAGGAAGCCTTCTTAAGGCCAGTTTAGAAACAATTTCCAAGCACTGGCGTGGCTAAGTCGTAATACTGCCGCGCTAGCACGCAGAAGATCAGGGTTTGAACCCGTTGTGGCATTGGTATTTTTTATTTACTGTGTTTTTTGTTCGACACTGGTGACGGACAACTCCGGCAGCGGTGGCGGCGGTAAACTACGGTGCCGTGCTCACCCGTGTTCTGATTTCATGACAGCTTTAGTTGTGAAAAGCGTGTACGTAAGCAAACTTTCTCTTCGACCAAAACCATCCGCTCTCGGCATGTTATAAGGTATACACTTCACAATGTCATCCCTGCCATGACCTTTGAACAAATCCTGCGTGTCAAAAAATGTAGAAATGCTGTCGCACGAAATTTGATGGAAAAAGTGACCTTGCTCGTTTATTTCACAGTTTATTGTTCACAGGAAATGACTGTTATTGATTAGACGATTTCTGACATGGTTCTCGGGATTAAAGATCCCCTGTCGCAATTCCTGCTATCTTTTTGGGGCATCTTGTGACATTGTTCACAGAACAGCATGTTGGAGGCATTCCTCGGTTTCTTTGATGTTGGGTGGCCAGCTGATTCAAAGCGCGTGCTGCCGTCATCGCTCGCGCTAGCGTTCCATATAGGCGTACTCCTCCTCAGAAATTATTAAAATGCATGGTCAACCCTTAGATGTCCCGCTTGGTCGTGCCAACGCAGCCTTTAGACTCGAGTGCCAGGAAAAAGCACGTGAACATCTGAAGAGGAGATTTGTATGGTTCTCATTGTGCTACACTGTTTCCGAGATTGCCTGACCTTTCAGCGATAGGTGATATTAGATGGAGACATTTTTATCTCGCTACCTGCAGGGTCTCCTTGATGATGAAGAAAATTCTTGATGATCTGAGAAGCCAGAACAAATTACAATTTCATTAAACACACTCTGATTCAAGGGCACTCGCGTGGGGTCTCACATGGCGGACGGACACGGACGGAACGAGGCAAAATTACCTAGTTGGGACTTTTTTGCAGTGTAGTGCTACAATAGCTTCGTTTTAAACAACGAATGAATGCAAGAGGCTAAATTCTGTTATGAAATGCTCGTTTTCTTGAGTATGCTGTCCGCCGCGGTGTAGCACTGCTTCTGGTAGTCGTCTGCTGACCCAAAAGTCACGGGTTTGATCCAGATTATGGCAGCCTCATTTCAATGAAGGGAAATCGGCAAAGGCTCGTGCACTGTACGATGTCAGTGCAAGTCAAAAAACAACAGGCAGTCACAATTTGCGGAGATTTTCACTGGAGCATTCATCATAATTATATCGTGGTTTCAGGACGTGAAACCACATATACTAGTACTCTGTTATTACTAAGTCTAGATTGTTTGATTGTACTGCTTGGGATCTGTTCTAGTATTGGCGAGAACACGAGTCACGTGCTAGTTGCTTCACCGTGAGCATCTTTTTACCGCAGCTTTCCAACCACTTCCTTGTCGAGGGCAATCAATACATTAACGTTTGGCACAATCAGAAATGCCTCCTCAAGGCATAACATCATTTTGCGGAACATGGCGACCGTGTATGCCTTATGCAGCCCTTCTAGAAACCACTTGTCCAGATTAGGGCATAAACGTTTCCAGTTCTGATTCATGCTCGTTCCTTCAATCCTACTCCTACCGAGATGACTTGTCTATCAGTTTTCCGGTGATGTCATGATCAGACGTACTACAGCTTTACCATCCTACGTAATGTTTCCCCTGTTCAATCTGCTAAGGCACGTTGATGGTCCTCGTGTTTGACGAACAGACATTTATTCGATACCTTGTAAGAGGTAAACAGCGCGAAACACGAAGACAGAGAAATAAAAATGCAAAGGCGAGCACTGCCTTGTGTCTTTCTATATCTCTGTATTCGTGTTTTGCGCTGTTTACCTATTACAATGAATTGTTATTAGGCTGCCCAGTTTACAATACTAGTCATTTATTCGATATACCCCCAACTATTCACATGCACTGCTATAGAAACTGCACTGCCAAACAAGATTGCTTTTAGAATGACACATAGAGTTGAACCTTGGTACGGGGACTCCTGAAACATTAATCCTGTAAGGTGGTTAAATTATGGAAGGCTGTCTTACTTATTCATATACGTACGAGTAGGTATATTAAGAAAGCCCCACTTAAAGCTTACACTGTCTTCATTATTTGGTGACATGCTACCCTTGTGTCAGATATCAAATTGAAGCAGCTTGGCAAGCTTAAGTAATGGCAGAAAGATTTCACAAAATTGACCAATATATGAAAAAAAGAAGTGTGCATGCTGTTCTTAGTTGAATCATGCAACTGGGGACTTAGGCTCTCAGACATACCTAAATTTTTAACGTCCATATGTTTTTTTCGACCTTTGACAAATATTCCTTCAAACGCTCTAGACACCCTGCAAACACGCAAATACAAAATATATCAATCATACTACTAGGTTTCTTGTGTCTAGAATATTACTTATGTCCCCGGTGTAGCAAGATCGTGTGAAGAATACGGTATTCTTCTCCAATGCGCTCACCCGGTCCACCAAACACCTTATAAGGGTGTTTCCGGATGTCGTATGTGTCCATATCGGTTCCGCCGTGTAATAAAACTGAAACGAAAGTAAACATCTGCACATGATGGCCATAGTCTCAGACTGAATGAAGTCAATGTCACCTGTGCTGACTCCAATGTAAAGTGAAATATTGCCTTCTAAGACATCACATATTATAACAAAGAAATAATGATGTCGATGCTAATACTACAAAGATTATTAAGAAAAAGGTGACATGTTCACAGTGCACTCTCAGCGAAAGTTGAACGAACCCTTTGAAAGGCGTAGTCCGTATTTACTATAACGATGGCAAGAAATTACCACGTCACATGGCTCGTCCTACCTAATCGCAGTTTTGTTCGCTGTTTTGTTTGCATAATTCATCGCAGTTTTGTTCGCATAATTCATCAGTAAACACATTCGATGGTGTTGATACAGTTGTGGATGATCTTGTGTGCTATTGAAAATAACGTTTTGCTGTCAATCAAGGAGTTGAGCATGCAGGACAACTCTTACTGGCCCCAACAACTTACTTTTCGAAACACTGTATATCATTTGCACCGACGTATCAGCAAGATCTACGACGTGCTCAAACTTTCATGAACGATAATAGTATGTTGGCCTCACCTGAAGCATAACACAAGTCGAATAATTTGTTGTGCAATGTGGCCTCTATTACTTTTCACTGCTCGAATCATCAAGACAATAGAACAATTGGAACAAGAAAAATACAATGCACATGGTTACACAATCCCGAAATGTCGAATATGTTATTTCGTGCGGTGACTTTGAAATAAATGCAGAGCAAAAAAATAGAGAAGGATAACGTTTTATTTTGCTGCGAAAGAACTTCTTTTACTATAGTTGCAGTCTATGCTATGATAGAATTGAACATTAGGAAGTTTTTTTTTCTGTGTTGATCCTATTCGAATAAAGTGATGCAATAAAACTTTGAATACGGGGCCACTTGAATTAGTATATATGACAGTTAGCAAGCTATATAACATGCTTAAGTTTACTTGTGCTACGCAGTGGCCATCAAAACCACGATGTATTTACGCAGCTGGACTCTTAAAGGAACATAGTGTATTGTATAAGTTCTGTTCTAAAAGACTCACAGTCGGTTTGAAAAAGTATACACCTTGAATGCGTTTGTCTTCCTTTGGTTACCGACTGATAGAAAGTGTGACTCCAAACGCTGACTCATACTTCTGGCTCTAACATAACTGCCTTCCCATATTGTTTTTTTATTATTAAAAAAAAACCTCGCGCTGTCTTGCATACCCATGAATGAAAAGTTTGAAGACAGATACGTAGCATGCAGCGTGGTTTAACTCATGTAAAACTGTAGTAAATAGACCTGCCTATAAAAACAAATACTGCTGCTGAAATTGTACGTAACGTGGAGTTGCAAAGATCATGGCCAAGAAAAACAGTATGGTTGCTTCGTAATGAGAACTCCTTTAAAACACTAAATTTAAATCTGAGCTTTGCCGATACTTGCAGTTTCCTTAACAGTGCAGTAATAGTTTTTTTCCTCTGCACAAGTACTGCAATTGAAGTTGGTGTTTTTCTGTATTTGAGCCTGCTACCTCTATAGGTCAGGAAAAAGGGTAAACTACATTACGGGTACTGTGGTGTTCTACTGATAAAATGTGATGACACAATCCTTCTCCCAAACTTCTTGCAAGTAAGAGATAAACAGTGGGAACATGATGGTCATGATTTGCTGAGCAAAAGAGTGTCCAGCGGCCCCCGCGATTGCTTAGTAGTTTCCTAGAGTGATCATTTTCGAGATTAATATTTCGCCAAACCAGATATGGCCACACAGTACACAAGTTTGCACCAATAAAGATGCTTGTCGTATCTACAACAGTATATGTAAAAGGTGCTGGGCCAACCAAAACACCCATGTCATGGGTTTTTTGGTTTGTCAAAACTATCAATCTTTTCGTAGGGTGTTATAGACGCGGTAAAACAACCTTAACTGTGAAAACTGGTTTACTGAGCATACTAGCCCTAATCATCGATCCTTTTCTCAAGTTTTTCCGGGTCACATGAAGTATCATTTGAAATGCGTGACACAACATTTCAGCCCTTGTTGATTTGTTTGCGATTTGACTTTCCTGAACAATCAGCCGCATTCATGACTACCCCATCTGTTTCTACGGCACAGAGTATTCAACTCGTACGCATACAGATTTTTCTTTGTTGATTAGCTTGAAAATTATTGATTGTCATCATACAGGAGACGAAAATCCACGTTGCGAGTCACCTGAATAGGCTACTAGCACCACGGTGTACATTCGTCAGACAGCGCAACCACATCGAAAAAATAGATTACAAGAGGACAGTGACCGTACTTTTTACGGTGGTCCCACGAAATTCTTTTTAGACTAGCAATGAATTTGTGTTTTGTATTTATTAGTCAACGTTTCTGATTCACTGATTAGCTTTTGTTCCTTCTGACAATATTAATAACAAGGCGGTGATGAGCTGCGTTAACGCTTCTCACGTAAACATGTCCACTGTACAATTGCATTAAAAGAGCAAAGCGCTAGGTACTGGTAAACTGACGATCTTATATAACACTCAGTACGGTAGGGGAACGATAGAGAAGCGCTACAAGAAACGAAAGTAATAATTCTGGTCGTGAAATTCGAATACGTCATTCATAAAATTTTGATGCACCTACGTCTAAAAAATACCATAGAAATATAAACAAAGAAACAAAGCAGTAACTGTATGAACAGTGGCAATTGAAAACCTACCTTTTTTATAGTGTGGGCTCTCTTTAGACAATCCCAACAACTTCCTTCTAATACGGTCAAACTACAGGCATAGAGAAGAATTTTAGGCACCAACATCTCCACCATGCTATTTCAGCTAATGTCTACGAGCTGACGCGGCACACTCCCAACAAGCCACATAAGTGATAAAATTCAGCCTATTTCAAGATACAATGAGCCCGAGTCTCACCAGCATTGTTCATAATTGTCAAAAGCAGGTGTAATGCACGAAATCCACAAGCCGCTATGCTAAGACGCAATTCTTTCTTTTCCATGTAGTTATGAGATTACATGCCAACAAAAACAACGTGCGCAAATTGTGCTATTTCTATGGAAGTTGAACTAAGGGCATTTCTACTAAGATTTCGCGCAACACCGCACTCCTTTTGTACTGACACCGCACTCCTTTTGTACTGAGGCTTTTGTACTGAGGTCGAGATATATCCTTGAGAGCTTTATCTGAGGTATCTGACTTAGCACTGATAGAACGCTGGAGCCTCGACCTCTGCAAACTGTCATGAAAAACGAACTGCTACGCAAAACTATTATTGCATCTGCAAAATGTCATGCGAAAAAAAAGTGCAGCTTTCCCTATAGAGGCGCAAATCTAGCACCAACATCAGAGCAAGGTATAAGCTATTTTTTAGACGTGAAAGCGTTAGAGAGCTAGCGTTCAGCGATTCCAGTGTTGGTGTCAGCGTCGTTGGCGAGAGCAACAATTCGGGAAAGATGTAGATCAAATGTGTGAGAAATGTGTTTGGTTGAAGTCATAATCAAAGCCAGGAAATTCGTGTGGCAACTAGGATTTCTTAAAACAGTGAAACAGCAATGCTTGAATTTTCTTCTAAAACATCATACAAATTGAATGTACTAAAAGGATTCGCTCTAAAGCACGTAATATTACGTGGTGAAAGTATGGAATCACGTGGGGCATCAAAACATGTGAATTGCTCAGCGAGCACGAATTCTAAGGGCCAAATCCTTTGCAAAGCGCTAATAACTATTTACTCATCAACAGCTGCAAAGCATCAACAAAGGGAAGAGCTGTGTAAGTTTGCGTGGTGGCTTATTGACTCACAGTAGGCCCTTCGCTGATTCGCTAAAGGATTAATTAGGGCATTAGTAGGCCACATAACAACCGTACTTGCAGTAGGAATTATAAATAGGATAGCTCCAAAAAGCGAATGGTGTGCACCAAGTCGTTCATTGCCTTACGGCGGATATGAGGAAGGCATGTAGCCAGAACCAACGCCAGACTACGTATTGAGAAGGCAATGCACTTGGAGTCTGCGAATGCGCTTGAACGTGCTACACATGAAAACGAAGCTCAAGCGTGCTCCGAATTTTTCGCAAGGTTTGCAAGTCGTGTCAGAATTTTGCTTGAGATTGAAAGTCTTCGCTATCTGTTACTTAGTATGATTCGGCTTAGCTATCCTTATTTCATTTTTGTTAAATTTCGGCACCACGTGGGTCTTGCAGAAATGTGTGTAGTTACTACCTTACCTGTTGCGTCATGTTACATAATTTTCAGACGTGTGAAAACATGTGCCGTTAGGTAACGTGATTTTAAAAACGGGAAAACTTGTCGCGTTAAGTGACTTCAGTCATGTTACTACCGTGAAATTCCAAGTTAGTGCCCTTAGCCAAGCAAGCGCCCCCCTCTCTTTTTTGGGAGATCTGAAATAACCACCAATGAATGAGAAAGCGTGCTCTCCCCCTTTTCCTCTCAGGACATTTCTTTTCTCAAGACGAGCATCAAGACGAGAACCACATGAATGAGTATGCTTATTGCAAATGTAATGTTTTTAGTGAAATTAAGTTGTCAGGTAGATAAATGAACTATTTTGTTGGAAACATGGATGGACATTTTTTAGTTTAGGTTGCTCTCCCATCACCATTTTCAGCTCTGGACTTGTGATTAGGGACAGCAATCACTTCCCCCGCTCCTTCTCCAAACAAATGGTGGCAAAATGTTTACCGTGGCGCATGTTTGGCATTTTACGACACGTTTTACGTGCTCTTACGTGATATTATGGTCACGCTACCACACACAGTGCGTTTTTACGTGATTTTAGTCACGGGATTTGATGTGTGTACCTGCTCTTGCAGGGAAATCTCAACAAACCAAACCACCTTTCTTATATCTACCGAAATAACTCGAATGTAGAGTTTACAAATCGTTCATTAGTTTCGCGAGTTCTAACCGATTCTAAATGACGATAGAGATTCTCTCCTTGTCCT